GCTGGGGTCGATACTCCAGCACCCCCCACTGACTGAGGCTCAGGCAAGTTAGGCCGGCCAAGGCACAGGCAAGCCTCGGATGGTGGCTGCCCAGCCACCCAATGCTTGCACTGCTGGCAGTGGCAGCAGCAGAGGTATGATGGGGGCGTCACCTTCCCCTGATCACCTCGGTGTCTTCTTGTCCCTGAGGGCTCCTGGACTGTGAGAGGGGCTGGTAGGGCTGAGGGAACCCTCCAGAGCATGAATTTTCATGCACCAGGCCTCTAGTCTATATTTATAAAAACCTAAGCAACTGTTCGATGGGTAACTATGATGCACAATGATCACCAGGGGGCATACGCTCAACGCACAGGCATAGAAACATGGAACAGACTGATGAACCTCAGAGGGATGGAGGGAAGAGAAGAGCAAGAAGAGATTAACCAAAGATTTTATATGCATACTCGAGGCCAGATTCATGCACTGCTGGAGTCCCTCAGCCTGGCCTGTGGGGATTGGGATGAATCCATGCACTGGGCCTCTGACATCCCCCAAAGATCCTGGATTGTAAGAGGGCACAGGCCAGGCTGAGGGACCCCACCAGTGCACAAATCTGTGCACCGGGCACCTACTATTACAAAAAGAGCAAGAAAGAGTAGATTTTGCCTTACATTCACTGATGACAAGTTCATATTAAATTTTTTTTTTAATTTTTAAAAAATTAATTCTGGCCAAAGCCAGTTTGGTTCAGTGGTAGAGCGTCGGCCTGCAGACTGAAGGGTCCCAGGTTCGATTCCGGTTGCGGGCACATCCCCAGTGGGGGGTGCGCAAGAGGCAGCTGATCGATGATTCTCTCTCTTCGATGTTTCTACCTCTCTATCCCTCTCTCTTCCTCTCTGTGAAAAATCATTAAAATATATTTTAAAAAAAATTAATTCTGGAGAGAGAAGGGAGACAGATTGAGTGATAGAAACAGTGATGGTTTGCCTTCTGCACGGCCCCCTCCTGGGGGGATCAAGCCCTCAACCTGGGAATGTGCCCTGACCAAGAATTGAGTTGGGTTCATGGATCAATGCTCAATGACTAAGCCACACTGGCCAGGGAAATTTCTTTTGTTTTCCAAGTTTCCCTGAATATTTGTAAATTTCACAAATATGGCAATGATAACAATTTGTTCATATAATGTAGCAGTATTTTATAGCTATAGTAATGTGTATGTGGATGAATTTAGAACTGCAATCAACCTCTCATGATTTTTAAAACTTGACATCATAAACAATATTTTCTACCAGAAATAGTCTATATATAATTATTTTTAGTGCTTGAGTTGATATACCAAAACTCATCAATTTCTATATTTTGAAACTTAAGTAGCCATTTGCTTTTGTATTTTATTTTGTTGGTGTTATTGTCATTGTTTACCCCTTTCATCCTCAGTTATAAGTAACTCTGCAGTACTTGGTGACTATTGAGTAATAGGCATCAAGATCCACTGTATTTCTAACACAGGTGGGTGAGTAGAGAGCAACTCCCAATATGTTTTTGGCCAAGAACCATGAGCCCCAACAACCTCTAGAATCACAGAAAGTTCAATTCCAATACCATTTCCAAAATGCAGCAAAGGTAAATTAACTAATGTGAGAAGAGTCTCTTATGATACCTTTGACTACATCAAATTTAATTCCTAACTATGAATTATCACTTCTTTTATTTTTTTTCTCCTTGGCCGAGGATACGGTTATTGATTTGAGATAGAGAGGAAGGGAGAAGGAGAGTGAAAGGGAGGAAGAGAGAGAGGTGGGAAAGAGAGAAAAAGAGAGAGAGAGAAAGAGAAGGGAAGAGAGTGAGGAACATTTATGTGAGAAACATCAATTTGTTGCCTCCCAACTGGCTGCCTTCCCTTACGTGCCCCAAATAGGGATTAAACCCAAACCTACCTTAGTGGGAATCAGTGCCCTGAGTGGAAATTGAATCCATGATTTTTTAGTATACAGGGACAATGCTCTAACCAACTGAGCCATCTGGCCAGGGCTATAGCTTCTTATTTAAAACAAAACATTTATGGTATAGGAAGCAACCGAATATTTGTAAAATATACATGCATTATTTTGTTAAAAATTTTATTATTAATATGAAAAATATTTTTTGAAATAATGATCCAATGCTGACACTTCTGATACAGAACTAAACAGCCTACACATAAGCAGTAAAACAAAAAACAGTGAAAAGGGGGTTTATCTACCTATACTTTCTTCCTTCAGAGCTCTGAATCCTTTATTCTGGTTTGTGTGTTTTGTTTTGTTTTTTAATATATAATATTTTATTGATTTTTTTACAGAGAGGAAGGGAGAGAGATAGAGAGCTAGAAATGTCGATGAGAGAGAAACATCGACCAGCTACCACTTGCACACACCCTACCAGGGATGTGCCCACAACCAATGTACATGCCCTTGACCGGAATCGAACCTGGGACCCTTCAGTCCACAGACCGACACTCTACCACTGAGCCAAACCGGTCGAAGCTGTGTTTTGTTTTTTAATCCTCACCCAAAGATTTTTTCCCATTGAATTTTAGAGAGTAGAAGGAAGTGGAGGGAGGGGTGAGAGAGAGAAAGAAACATCAACGAGAGAGAGATACATCCATTGGTTTTCTCTTGCACTCGCCTCAACTGGGACCAGGGATCGAACCTGCAACCCAGGTACATGCCCTTGACCAGAATCGAACTTGAGACTGTTCAGTGCAAGTGCCGAAGCTCTAACCACACTTACTAACACCAGCCAGAGCTGTTTCTTTTTTGGGAGGAGTTTGAGAATTAGAAAACAGATGGAAACAAGTGAGTATATGACTTTAAAGTGAATTAGTTCTCAATAGCAAGTCAAAAGCTGGAGTCTTCCCAATTTTCTCTTACTATCTAAAAATCTATATATACTACGTATTTGGTAGGCAAGAACTTTTGATTATTAAATGGACAAGAACACAAAAATGTTTCTATGTGAACTGATCTCAGTTTGTACTTATAAAAGAGTGAATTATTTCTATATTCTCTCCCCTACAACAGGATAACTTTGTTATATAGAATAATATAAGTTATCCACAGCTGTTTATCTGTATTATGGTTAAGTCAGATACTAAAGAAAACAATATTCTAGAGCCTTATTTTTGAAAATATGACTTTATATTACCCAGTTTGTCCTGTTTTAAGAAGAAAAGAAGAATGAAGATAATGCTTTACAGAAAAAGAAGGTTGTGAAAAACAGTAAAACTATTCCAATGTGCTGCTAATTTATGCAGACTGAAATCCAGATTCAGGATCCTGGAGTAAGTTCTCCATTTCTCACTTTCAAGTATTTTAAAGGCTCAATAGCTGTTTCTGAAACAAAAATGCTTCCCAATATCCACCAGGCCAAAAAGGGACTACAGGACAAAGACTGTAAATTTTTAAAAGTAAATTTAATGCTTGGGTCATACCCTGTTTCCCCGAAAATAAGACAGTGTCTTATATTAATTTTTGCTCCCAAAGATGCACTACGTCTTATTTTCAGGGGATGCCTTATTTTTCCATGAAGAAGAATATGGTACACATTTATTGTTAAATGAAAATAAAGGAAATTTATTGCCTGTATACGGTACGGTAGTACAGTAGTTGTCAACACAAACCAAACTGTGAATCCTACAGTATTAAGAATTGACTCACGCCGGGACCGGTTTGGCTCAATGGATAGAGCGTCGGCTTGGGGACTGAAAGGTCCCGGGTTCGATTCCGGTCAAGGGCATGTACCTTGGTTGCGGGCATATCCCCGGTAGGGGGTGTGCAAGAGGCAGCTGATCGATGACTCTCTCTCATCGATGTTTCTAACTCTCTATCTCTCTCCCTTCCTCTCTGTACAAAATCAATAAAATATATTTAAAAAAAGGAAAAAAAGAAAAAAAAGAATTGACTCATTTATTCAATGACAATCATGTCATCTTCTTCTGGAACATCATCATAATAATCTAATTCCTGAATTTCCTGGTGAATTTCTTGTGACTCCATTTCTTTCAGAATCAATGGACCAAATCTCTCATGTTTAGCTTAGGGGGGGGCCTTATTTTCGGGGGGATGCCTTATATTTCACTCAGAAGGAAACCTGTAAGTAGGTCTTATTTTCAGAAGATGTCTTATTTTCGGGCAAACACAGTAGCTATCATAAAATGATACAACTCCAGAGCTCTACTGCAATTAAAAAAATTACAGAATGATAGAGTGAACGGCCCCCACATATTATTCTAAGAAACATAATGCAGCATTCTAGCATCCTTGCATATTAGTACAAATTCATTCAGAAAACTAAAACAATTTCCCCAGGCCTGTGGGCCTTGTTCAGCAAAAGAACCTCGCCTTGGATTTATTCCAAGAGGGGCACTCAATTGCTCTGTGGTAACTCCTGAAAGAAGGGTAGTCCAAATATAGTAGGATAAATCCCCCCAAAAAAGCTGAATCCTTGATCATAGCAACAGGTGACCCTTGCTGTGAAGCTACAGAAGGGGTACACAAATACATTTGTATGACTTTATCTACTAAGTTTAAAAAATGCCAATGTAACACATATGCATTATAAGCTTAGCAATTAGCAGCAAAGGTTTAAAGCAAAGATGGAGGACCTTTTTTCTGCCAAAGGCCAGTTGGATATTTATATAATTCGAGGGTCATACAAAATTATCAACTTAAAAATTAGCCTGCTATATTTGGTCAAACATTTAATTAACTCACCCTTAATGCTTTGACAGGGTCAGACCAAATGATTTTGCAGCCTTATACGGCAAGCAGGATGGACATTACCCACTTCTGGTTTAAAGCCTTAATCTTAACTATATACACTGGTATTATAAAACTATCCTCAATTTTGAACAATTAAACTAGAGACTGCTAAGTGGGAAAACATATATAGTCCTTTATGGCTATCGCATTAACTACTACCACAGGATTCTGAGATTATAAAACAACTAATCTTGAGAGAAATTTATGTTAGATGACTCTTACCTCATAAATGTTCGGGTGCCACATTTTGGTCAAGAATCTGAAGGTAGGTGGTGAATATGGGTAGTCAATAGGAAATTTAATATGCGCCTGGAAAAAAACACAAAACGCTAATAAATGAGATTACAGGTTATTCATCTGCCTAATAATTTACCTTATTACACTTCAATAAAACAAAGCTCCTATGTATAGAGTATACTCTGGGAATTAAAACAGCTCATATATTGTTTTGTTAGCCCCATGTCAGGGTTATTACTAATATGTTGTTATAACATCTCTTCAAATATTTATTAAGAGTTTATGGCAAATCAACAAAATTCAACAGCTACATATTTTTTTTTTGAGAGAGAGGAAAGGAGAGAGATAAAGAGATAAAGGACTATCAATCGCTGCCTCCTGCACGCCCCCTACCAAGTATTGAGCCTGCAACCCAGGTGTATGTCCTAACCAGGAATCAAATCAGTGACCCCTGGGTTCATGCATCGATCAATGCTCAACTACTGAGCCACATCAGCCAGACAATCTTACCTAATAATAGACAAACAAGTAAAATGCCCATACCTCCGCCACACCACCAGCCAATCAGGAGTGGTATGCAAATTAATCCAACAAAGATGCCAGTTAATTTGCATACACAGGCGCTGAGTGATGGGGTGGGACATTTGCATTCTGCCCCACCCCCAGTCTCTCAGGGCCTCTGGGCAATATGGGAAGGGCGGAGCCAGAGCGGAAAGAGGTGGTTCCAGGGCCTGAGGGGGCCCTGAGTGGCAAGGGGCTGGGCCGGAGTGGAAAGGCAGTGCAGGCAGTGCAGGCAGCCAGGGAAAGGAAAGCCCATTCTGGCACAAATCTTCGTGCATTGGGCTTCTAATAGCTACATAATTTTTAACTGAATTCACGCTGAGTGAAAACAGTATTATGGACAGGTGTATCACATTAAAGAAATTAATTAATATAACCTTATGGTACATATATAGAACAAAGTAGGTTTTTTTACTCATAATTTAACCACCACCCAGATACTAAACACTACCATTTTGAAATAGCACCTTCCAATAATTTTTGAATGCATGAACACATATGCTTATTTATTTACAAAACTTATTTTCAAAGATTTAAATATACCGTGTTTTGGGGTAATCATTCCAAACATTCTGGACTATGACCTTCCAGACTTTGATCACATTTTAATACTTTAATGTATTGTTGTATCCTATATAATAAAAACCTAATATGTAAATTGACTAAATAGCAGAATTGAACCTGGGACCCCTCAGTCCACAGACCGACACTCTATCCACTGAGCCAAACCGGTTTTGGCAAGGCAGCAATTTTTAACTGATGTGTCACAAGAATTTTTATTTTTATTTTTATTTTTTTATAGAGAGGAAGAGAGAGAGATAGAGAGTTAGAAACATCGATGAGAGAGAATCATCGATCAGCTGCCTCTTGCACACCCCTCCTGAGGATGTGCCCACAACCAAGGTACATGCCCTTGACTGGAACTGAACCCAGGACCTTTCAGTCTGCAGGCCGACGCTCTATCTATTGAGCCAAACCGGTTTCGGCATCACAAGAATTTTTAAACCATGCAATACATGACTACTTAGAGGCACTGACCTCTTTCCCCTTAGACTGTCAAATTAAAAAATGACAATAGCCAATACAATAGCTGTCTGGTGTGAATGAATCAAAAATACACCAGTTTTATTTGCCAGATCGGCATATATTTTTTGGTGTGTTGAAGAATTTTAGTAATTAGTTTATATGTGCCATGACATGAAAAAGGTTGAAAATTGCTGACCTAAGGTATTGAAAGGGAAGAGAAGTAAAAATGGAGATAAAAAGAAATATGCACACACACTAACCAAACAACAAACAAGAAAAGATCTGGTATGAGCAAAAAATAATGATAAAGAGCCATGAATTGAGAATTCATGAATTTAATCCTAGAAAGAACAACAAATAATTAAATAAATACTGGCATGGGTGACTGAATCTATTAATAGGAGGAGGGCTCTTCTCAGCTGTGGCTTTATGCTGGAGGTAACCATAGGAGGGAGGGAGGGAGGGAAATACAGATTCACTCTCTCTCCATACTAAAAAGCTGAAAAAGGTTGCTTCTGGGGAGTGGGGGGTGGGAGGGACTTGACTTTTTATTTTAAACTTTACAGTATGTTTGACTTTAAAAAGGTAATTTTTGTAGCTGCCCTGGCCAGTGTAGCTCAGTTGGTTAAAGCATCATCACATACACCAAAAGGTGGCAGGTTCGATTCCAATCAGGGCATATACCCAGGTTGTGGGTTCAATCCCAAGTCTGGGTGCATGCAGCAAGCAACCAATCAATGTTTCACTCTCAGACTTTCTCTTTCTCCCTTCCTCTCTCTGAGATCAATTTGAAAAAATAGTAACAAAAAGGATATAACTGAATTACTTTTACAAATGAAAATGTTAACATAAAAGGAAAAAAGTATCAAGTCAGTTATGTGAAAGCAGTAAGGAATCTGGATTGGCAGGATTTGGAGGGACCGGCAAATTTTGAGAAGTAAAGAGTAAGCCATAAGTCAGGAATCCAAATACCAAGTCAGTTATATCATCAGCCATCAGGAAATAGATGAAACTTGTTTTTGCAAAGGGCATGAGTTCAGTAGCTCATGAGTCTAGCTAATATCTGGGCACAGCTGGTCTTGTATAATGAGATGAGTAAATACAGGTGACTGAGAAATGAAATAACTAATGATAGCCTAGTTACCAGTTTCCACAGTAATCTTCCATGCAGCTATCGCCATTTTCAACACCCACAGAATCAGTGCATCCCTACTCCCAGGAACAATTCTGACTTCAATGATTACTATGTATTGCCCTTGATCCTCAGGTTCAGTTGAATCCTGAATGGTCTCATTTCTGGACTCCAATCTGTTTCCTCCAGCACAAATGACAATGTGAGCCCCAACTTTAATTCTGAAGTTCTTGTTCTAAAAGTATATTCAGTTTCTGCAATAAACCTCCCTGCCCGAATATCTAATTATCCTGCTTTGGGAGCCAGGGCAAAATATAGTTAAGACAGACAGAATTAATAAGCTTTAGAATCAGGAGTGCAAACTAATCTGGGTAACTCTGGACTCAAAATCCCTGTGAGCTATAGTTCCCCCAAATATATAAAAGTGGTTCAGTGACACCTCATGCTGTAAGAAATTAGGATAGTAGTAGCTCCTCAATTACCTAGTGCTTACTATGTTCCAGGCGCTGTTCTAAATTCTTTAAATATATTAACTCATTTAATTCTTTTATCCCCCCATTTAATTCTTTTTTTTTTAATATATATATATTTTTTTATTGACTTTGTACAGAGAGAAAGGGAGAGAGAGAGTTAGAAACATCGATGAGAGAGAGTCATCGATCAGCTGCCTCTTGCACACTCCTTACTGGGGATATGCCCGCAACCAAGGTACATGCCCATAACTGGAATCGAACCCGGGACCCTTCAGTCCCCAAGCCGACGCTCTATCCATCGAGCCAAACCGGTTTCAGCCCCCCATTTAATTCTTAAAACAATCCTATGCAATCGGTATTATCAAACCCACTAGAGGCCCATCCATGCACCGGTGGGGTCCCTCAGCCTGGCCTGCGCCCTCTTGCAATCTGGGACCCCTCAGGGGATATTGGAGGCCTCTAGTATGCATTTAAGATCTTTAGTTCATTTCTTTCTGCCCTCCCCCCATTTTTCCCTCTGAAAGTCACCAGTCTGATCCATGTTTCCATGCCTGTGGTTCCCACTCCTGCACTGAGCATCTGCCCCTTGGTGGTCAGTGCGTTTCATAGCTACCGGACGGTTGGCTGGTCTGCCGGTTGCATATATATGCATATATATATTCATATATATATGCATATATATATATTCTATATGTATATATATGTTAGATAGATATTACAAATGAGAAAAATTAATAAAAAGGTTTTTAGAAATTTGCACAAGGTCACACAGCTAGAAACTAATAGTCTGGATACTACAAAAAAATAGATATATTCTTCTTTACACATGTTAATCATTTAATAAACAGTACCTATTATCTTGTAATTCTCTGTTAAGTTAGAAATATTCTCATTTAGACTCTTCTTGACCTGAAAAAAATGCCTGTAATTTAATGGAAATTGAACTGTTTTCTACATGAGAGTGAAACTGGCTCATTTCCAGGCAGTCTTATTTCAACCAAATAGGCAAGCCTAAGAACCTTCTCCACTTTCCTTAACTGGTTCTAAATAATAACTGTATACTGCTAATTAATAACTATATACTATTAGGTGACAGTATTTGTAAATAATTTAATGATTAATAGAATCAAAAATAAAAGAACAATATATTATCTCTATAGAGATGGAAAAGGCATGCAGGAAAATTCAACATGCATTCTTAATTATTTTTTAAAGCCAAATACTACAATAATATGATAATGCATATATATGTCCAACCTCAAACACATAATAACTTTTTAAAATATATTTTTATTAATATCAAAAAGAATTGGGGAGAGAGAAACATCAACAGTGAGAGAGAATCAATGACCTGCTGCCTCCTGCATATCCCCCACTAGGGATCAAACCCACAACCTGAGCATATGCCCTGACTAAGAACTGAACCGTGACCTCCTGGTTCATAGGTCGACGCTCAATCACTGAGCCAAGCCCGGCCAGGCCCATACAATCTACAATAATAAAAGAGAAACATGCAAATTGACCATGCCTCCACTACGCCCACCAATCAGGAGCGAGTATGCAAAATAAACCAGCCAAGATGGATGCGGCCCCAGAGCAAGCAGGAGGCTTGTGTTTCCCCAACAATAGAGGAAGCCAAGCTTCCTGCCCACTCTGGCTGGTCCTGGCCTCTGCTCAAGGTTACAAAGTTTCAATTACCGGTATAGAAGATAAACAAATCCCAGATACCAGGACTTCTACTTGGGTCACCAGGGGCATGGCTGGCCTGCAAACCACCACAGGTGCCTCGCCCAGGTCACGCCACATCCCAAGGGAACCCCCACCCTGATCCGGGACACCTTTCAGGGCAAACCAGCCAGCCCCCACCAATGCACCAGGCA